TGTTAGTCCATGTTGTTCTTCCCTCTGACTCCTGCAGGATAGTCTTTCTCATTTTTTTAAAAATTTTTTTTCCTCGTTAAAACCTGCCTGAAAACCATGGGACATTGTCAAGGACTGTCTTTGTACCCCTTGCCCCTGGGGATCCTTGCTGGCAATTTGGATAGAGGTTCTTAACTGTGATGAGATGGTTTGTTCTCTGCCCTGATGTGAAAATGCAGTTTCTATGTCAGTCACTTCTTTCACCTTCCTGGACAAGAGCCAGTGATATACCTTTTGCAGGTATGGAATTCTATGATGTGGTAGGTGAAGTACAGAAAATATCATGGTAAGAATGGTGACTTGTGCAATGTCCCAGAATATGCCACCAGCTCATCTAACCCAGCCTGGCTGTACTGGTCTGGAACAGCCTGGTATGGTCAGGTGGACCTGGTTGGTGATGCAAACACTTTTCCAAAAGTCTTTCTGCAAGAAGGAGGGAGGACTTGGAGAACTGTAAAGAAGGGCAGAGGGGAAGCAGAGCCCAGTTTCAGAGCAAGGCAAAAACCAACACAAAAAAACCCCTTGACATGGGACATTTAACATCAAAAATTTATAATTCTGACATGAAACATGCTCCTGGGTCTGGCTGATGGGCTGGATAGAAGTGGAGGGCAGTTTCTGTGCCTCAAGGCAAAGCCAGCTGATATGTTGTCCAGATGTTTTACGCAGTGCTTGGGCAGGACCCACCAGCTGACAGCTGCTTGTGGCTACTGTGGCAGCAAAGAAGCACCCACAGACCAAAGACCCACAGGAGCTGGGGGCTCCTGGTGTCTGCAGCAGGTCTTTGTAGGAAATGTAGACCCTAGAAACACCAAGTCCCTGATGCAGTATGCTAGGAATCCAGGCAGGGCTTTTCTGGAAAAGCTGTAGGAGTTGGGATGTTTTCCAAACAAGCACATGAGGCTCAACAAAGGAGTGTTTTTCCCTTTCTGCTCAGTGAGGCAGATGCCAGAGTACAGGACTTCAGGAGCCACAGAAAGGGTCAAAATCAACATGCTGTATAGAGAGCAAGCTCCTTCTCTCAGGCTGGACTTCTAGAAGCAGGAAACAGTAACCAGGAAAATAGAAGTACCAGTGGAATTGGAGGAATGGAGTCTAATAAAGGGGAATAGTGAGGAAAAACCTTGCAACACTGTGTTTGCACAAAGGGCCAGTTTGGAAAGTTCAGAGCAGTTGCCCAGCTGGATGCAAAGCCTCAGCTGAAACACATGGTTGTTATGAGTCTGTGGCTCACCTGCACATCTCTGCTCTATGTGACACCAGCCGTGTCCTCTGCCAGCTTGTAGGTGCTGAGGTGGTGAGCAAACATCATGAGGGAGTAATCCTGATAGCATACACAGGAATTGGCAGGACTCTGGCCACTTGTGAGGTCTGACATTGCAAGATTTGATGAATATGTCCCTGCTTATTGCAGGGTGTGGGGTAGACTAGGTGAGCAGTAAAGGTCCCTTCCAACCCAGAGTACTGTATGACTTGACTGCAGCCCTGCCATTGTGCAAAGAGCTGACTCTACAGAATAACTTTTCAGGTAGACTGAAGTTTAAGACCCTGGAAGATGCTACTGTTAGCATCTTTTAGCTGTTCTTTGTGAAAACACTGAGACAATTTTACATCCCTGTCACTTTACTGGCTGCCCCAGAGTTATTCTATATGTCTCCATGCTCAGGACAAAAGATTGAGCTCTTTCAATCTGGTTACTCATCTAGATTTGTAAATCTGCTACATTTGTGCAACTTCAGGAAGTTACTGGCATTTCTGGAGCTTGCTCTTAAGCAGAAGTCCTGCATTAACTTCTTTCCCTCAGTCATGCCATTGTTTCTGCTTCTGCCTTATATTAAAAATATTATAACCTTGTATTAGTGTTTCACAAACATTTATCACCAGCTGTCACTAAGTCTCTTGGTTATTTCTGGGACCTTAATTTTCAGAGTTTACAGTGCTTTAATGCACTTCATCTATGTGTTCAGAGCAGTACAGAATACAGAACCAAATTTATTACAAGAAGCTTATGTGCAAATCAAATTAAATCTGATAAAAGCATTAGCATGGATGGTTTCTTAAAATTACTGAGTTGGAGAAGCCAAGAAATCTAACAGGCTGATGCTATTCCAAAAACATGTTGAGCTCTCTTACTCCTTTGAAATATCTAAGCAATATAAATGAGCATGTAATTCCCACTCACAGTGAAGTTCCCTGCATAGTATATAGAGCTCTGGCACCATGTGAATAATGAACATGGTATGGAAGAAGATGCCAAGAAGCAGTCAAAGTTCCCATTGTCTGCACAGACAAATGCCATCATTTCATTGCAAGATGGCT